AACATTGTGCGCAATCTCAGCACAGTAAGATTTGTTACACATCAGCAGCACCTCCAGCTCCTTGACATTGTGGACTAGGAATTTGCGGAAGCCACTGGGCAACATGTGTTTTGTCTTCTTGTTGCTCCCGTAACCAATGTTGGGCATCAAGATCTGGCCCTTAAATCTTCTCCGAACTCTGTTGTCGATGCCTCTGGGCTTGCGCCAATTACGCTTAATTTTGACATAACGGTCTGACTGGTGGCGGATGAATTTCTTGGTCCTCTTTTTGACGATCTTTGGCTTCACCAGGGGTGTGAGGGCAGCCATTATGCCAGTGGCAGCTGACAACCACCTCCGTAGAAAGCACGGAAGGAAAGAGCTGTAAGATAGTTTTTGTTTTCAGTGTCCCACGTTTATAGGAATTTTCTCAGTGACAAGGGCTCACATCACAGTGGCTCCAGGCCTCACTCCTGATTCTGTAGCATAATTCTTAACGCACATCACATGACTCATAGTGACATTTGCTCCCACTCCGGCTCAAATTGTCATTGTCAGCTTTCAGTTATTATTGTGGTTGTCTTTGGGAAATTCCTCTTGGTTTTTGTGATCATGTATATAATTTAAAATAATAACAATGACACTATACTAGTTACATATTTTGCAACCTAAAAACTTTTCAAGCAACCTAGAAATTTTAGAAAGTAGAAATCTCTTGCATCTTTTGGAAATTCATAATTACACTTTTAGTAACAAAAATTATGTGTGATATCTTGATAGTCACTCTTATTAGATTCCATCAAGTTAGAACAGATTCATAGGAACTTTTATTAGAATGATATGTTACCTGATTTGTACCATCTTTCTATTCAAAACAATGCAAATCAAATTGTTGTTGTGTTGTATGTGCTATCGAATCACCTGAGACTCATAGTGACCCTGAGTACAATAGCTCTGAAGCCTGCCCTGTCCTGAGCCAGTCTCAGCTGACTCCCATTCACCAATTCCCATTACCCTAGTTACTGTATCAATCCATCTCGTCCAGAGTTATTCCTCTCCTATGCTGTCCATCCACCCTTCCAAGCATGATGTCTTTTTTCCAAGGAATGATCCCTTCTGGACACGTGTCCAAAGTATGTGAGACTGAGCTTCAAAATCTTTGCCCCCAAAGAGAAATTTGGCTTCACTCTCTCCAAGACAGATTGTCCATGGTACGTTCAAGACTCTTCTCCAGCACCACAACTCAAAGCCATCAATTCTTCTTCCATCATCTTTAGTCATTGTCCAGCTTTGGGATGTACAGCATGTAATTCCAATGGCTGTGGCCTGGATCAGATATACCTTTATCTCCAGATTGACATCATTGCTCTTTAGCAATCAGTTTGTTTCACACACATACAAACACACACACGCCCACACACACATACCCCCCCCACTCCAAACAAACAGCAAATAACACAAACCTAGCTAGTTTATTGTTGTTGTCAAATGCTGCCAAAATACAGGAACTCTCCATACAGCAAAATGAAACTCTATCCTATGGGAAGCCAATACTAAATTTTTTTTT